TTAAATATTTACATTTTATTCATAATCAATAGGTAAGCATTTTGTAACTATTGTAAATATTCTATTGTAATTTTTTGTGAAGCGCCTTGGACAATTTTGGAGATGAGCGCTATATAAATAAATTATATTATTATATTATTAAGCTGACATTCAGCCAAAAGATTAGTAGTTAACTGGCGATTGGGTACCCTCGTTGGCACCCTCTCTACTTGCATCCGTAATGGCCTTATACGTTCTACTCTTGAAAAATCTGCTTTCTCTTTACCAAAATTTAGTTTTTCGACAATTTCAGTGCGAAACATTTGCTTTTTTCTCGTAGGATACACTGAGAAGTAGAAGCTCGCCTCGGAAGTATTCACCCAAAATAAAATCTCCGAAGCGACAATAATTAGTAAATAAATTCAATAATATTAGAAAAGATTTTGTAAAAAAATAACATTAAAAAGGCCTCCGTGATTATTTTCGTGAGCTTTGATTGGTCTAAAATGAAAGCTTTTTGACGGTCAAGGCAACCTACCTTTCAAACGCTGTTTCATTCCAACTTGTACACAGGTGAGTTTTTGTGTCCCCTAATCGTGGCTTACGGCAACATAAGTACCTCTTTAGCTTAGGTGTAATGTTGTCCAATTTGAAACAACGTGTCCTCTCTTAATAGTAAAATAATTTATCTGAGTCTTATCCATATACACCTAATCCACTGTTTTCCATTTCAGGCCAAGTGTCATTCCCTATTTCGTTTAACGGTTGAACATGAGAAGACACAATATGAATACAACACAGTTAAACAAAGCTAAGAATCTTACTCTCAAGAGAGTGATAATGGTCTGAAATGGGCAAAACAGTACGGCCAAGTGCATTAGGTGCATTTATGTGTTTATTGTAATACGCAATCGTTAAACCAAGTAAAAATACTCTAGGGAATGACACGTGGTCTGTAATCGAAAAATGTTTCGTCCAAAATTAAGAGATCTATTTAATGGTTATTTATCAAGATGTAAGAAAATTTTTGGCTGCCTGCATAGTCGGAGATCCCAGATAGCACCTCCGAGAAAAAAAATAAAACTACAACGACAGCAGTAACAGCAATAACAATACAAGATTTAGTTTATACAACATTTTGTGCATAATGACAAAAAATAACATTTAATTCCAAATTCACTTTAGATTTTTTCAATGAATAATCTTCAATAAATATAAATTGCTGTAGATTGTTGCAATAGGACGATTGCATGATGGCGTCATCTGACTTCTATTACCAGACTCCCTTGCACACTTTCTTTTGTTCAGTTAATTAGCACCAATTGTCTTACTATTCTCATCAGGGAATGTAAATCCAAAAAGAAAGGAAATTCGCGAAACATAATGGTAGTGGAAATCAAATAATACGCCATAATGCGAACATTGTATTACTTCTTGATTGCAAATCAGTTTCAAAAAACACTCGAAATCAGAAATGAATATTGAAACTTCTAGTAAGTAAAACAATCAGTAACGATGATTCGAGAATTATTACTGTTCTTAATGTTCTGCGCTAAAGTACAGATGTATACCAAACTATTATCATCATGTACTTCTTGAAAGTGTGCATTTTATCCTATTGAGTTAGAGTGCACGCATAAACCCGTGAAACAAATACTAATTTGTAGTACTAAATAGTGGTAATCAAACAATAGGAAACAAAGGATTCTGTATGAATTACTACTAATTAGTACTAAATATTGTTCATGGATTTAGTGCGTGCACTCTACTGTGCAGACTCACTTACCACAAACACTTTGAGAATAAACCTGTCCAATCAGATAACAGTAAGCTAGACAGAAATAGAACTGATAACAGAGTTAGCCAATCAAATTATCGCGTTCTCACGTTCTTATTATATCGATGTGCTATCTGATTGGCTGGATAAAAATATCAAACTAGATGTCACAATATGATTGGTTATTGATACTAGTTTATCGCCGCACAGTAATTCTGCGTTAATGTTCTTCATTTTTTATCTCAAAACTATAACTTATAGTTCTTAACAAAACCAATATTTTTTTCTCGTCGTTATATTTCTATACTGAGATACTATGCTTCTTTCACTAAGCACTTTCTTGAGAGTCACAAAGTCTCAGTGACGGTTCAGGTTACCATAGATACTGAAATACCATTTACGCTATAGTGACTACGCATATGTGTCACATAATTTTCTGAGAGGGGTCTCATGTCTCGACCCACGCTCTTTTGACCACTCCCGGTGTGATAGGGGAATTGGGTTGGAACATACCATGAAGGCTGTGTGCTACAGGGCGGTCGATGATAGCACGAGCAACTTCGTCAAAAGTCTTGGCATCTAAGATCAAGAGGAACGACTTCTTTCCGTTAGTGCCAACCACAGCGGAAACAATGACCCCGTCGTCTTCGTCGCTGCCTCCCAGGGCTGGTATGAAGACTGGTTCGGAGGGGTAGCAGTACTTTTTGTCCCAGTACTTAGTAGTCTTAGCCAGCACGTCAATCTACAAAGAATGTAAAGAACAACTTTTCATATCTGACTAAGAGGTCACACATGCTAGGGTCCAGGTCACGTGTGATGTCCGCCATATTGGAAGAATTAACGAAATGACTGACAACTCTAAGACATGGTATAGCATTTGAATTGTGTCTTTGAATAGTCTGAATAACTATTTTTATGTTCGCTATAAAACCCACAGAGGGACGTATCCAGGAAAATAGGGAAAAAATGAATTGGGCTACCTGTGGTCTTGACAAAATTCTACACAATCATTTGACCAAAGATATAAAAGAACATTTAGCCCTAACATTAAGATATTTACCTTGACAATTTGATTCAAGAAGTCCCCGGGTTTTCGCTGCTTCAGCCCGTAAACAAACCGGTATGGCTTCCCATTGAAAAATCTATAATTTATCTGAGGAAGTTCTATTCCATAATGCAGCAGTTTAAAGTCTTGTCCATCTGAATACGTAGGTAAAGGCTCGAATGACGGCTTCTTACACTTAGAGGGTGGTACGGGGACCCGGTATCTTCTCAAAGTCCCCTCAGGAAATCCCTTGGAGACTTCGTGCTCGGATTTTGTTCGTAGGTTCGAGAGGTAGTACTGATAGACGATATTTGCGTTCGGGTAGCAACAGATGTCCACGAAGACGTCTGTGTCGTTTTCGTAGGCATTGACGTGGTGGAAGGCGAAGAAACTCTCTACGGTGTAGCGCGCGATGCACTGGCCGGTTTTTCTCGAGATGAGATAAAATCTCGAAGGCTGGCTGCCGTCCCACTTCATGCATTCGTGAAATGACCGACCTAAAATAAGAAAATAGTTGCTTTGTAAAAATAACGATGTAAAGAATTTTAATTTTTCATAGTACCGGCTACCATTGTTAACTGACAGGGTGACGGGGAGGGAGCGTTTTTTTCCTTCATGGAGTTAATTAGACATCCAGGACCATTCCAGGAGCCTTGTCACATTAATCGATATACCTACCCCTCCCCCCTTCCAGGTCTTTAACGACCTAGAGAAACTGTGGGAGTGAGTCAGTGCCTTAAGCTGGAAATTTGACATATCCATTACGGTAGACTTAGGCGTGGGGAATTTTACTGCTGGCTAAGGAACTTCACTGCGAAATTCCAACTCTGCTAGGTGGAGACGGAGTGGGGAGGGGAGAGGGGAGGGTGATTACTGACAAACCACTGATTATTTGACACGCTTAAACCCATGCGCAGACATTATCTAGGTTCTATCTTCGTCTTTGGACCATAGTTTACCTTTAATCTTCATGGTCAATAAACGCCATACATTCACTACAAACGGATTCTCAATAAACACGAAGTAGTTTGGAGTGATAGCAAAGCTGTGGTAATAACAGAGTTTGTTCTTCGGTTCAAAGGTCGCAACGATCTTAGTTCCTTTGAGAGGATTCTCTTCTTTTTCAGGAATCGGTGAAGGGTCACTTGGGATTTCCAGGAAATTATACTTTGTTCCGTTTCTTAGGGATACTGCAACGTTGTACACCCTTCCTTCTTCGTCTTGATGTGGATGTGGTGTGATAGAGAACATCCGTAGAGGAACTGGAAAAAAGGCAAAAATAATCAACATGAGCAGATCATAATGGCACGCAAATGATGATTAATTTAAATAAATATAAACCACGATAAATGAATAAAAACTGGTGGGGCTTCAATTCATAGTTCTGACTCCCCTTAGTTACCGTTGCTATGTCCCACAAGCTCAATAAATGAGCTATTATCAGAATCTAATAGTCTGATCGCCGGGAAAATTGATTATTATAAAAATAAAATAAAATTGCCTCGTAATTCTTATAGAACTCTTTAAACAGATACTGAACGCGTTCCCGTTCTTCATCACAGAAACAGAGTTTGGGTTGCCTGTGATCATTTCAAGCCTCGAATTGTGCACTTCCAGTTACTATTACATTCCGATAGTTTGGGCGGGAAAAAAGTGAAGAACGAAACGCGTCCAATCTTTTACGCGCCAAAACTCAAAACGCGTGCGTGCATCCAAAGGACACACAAAGACTGGTATGCTTCAGAGAGCAACAGCAAAACCTCGCAAAATAAGAACTGGATTTTACTCTTTTTCTTAGTTTTTCCTACTCAACTGAGTAAGACTCAATCTACAGTAAGTAAAGTAGAGATTGTATCCCGGATTCACCGAGAACTAGCCGGTTTCGTGCATTTATAACTTCAAAGTTACGAAGCTAAGAACTTTATATTTACACGTGAACATTCTGTAGTTTGATGGTCAACTTTACCGCTTGAACGATATTCATGGCTTAGAGGTAAGTTTACCGAACTTACATCTTTATTTCAGCTCAAGGAATAATAATTTTAGAGTTGTGAAACGAAAAACTTAGCAAGTAGTTGGGTAAGCTAATAAAGCGGTATTTTTGTACCATACTTTAAATATTTAAAAGTATGTGTCATAAAACATTGAATGGTTCACAAACTTACAAAAATGCCTATAATTTTGCTTGCATCTTGGGTTTCTTTGACCAACCATGCTAAGCAGTTTTACCCGGCAACGCATCAACGCCGGAGCATTCGCAATTTTTTTCTTATTTTCTTTATCATCTTTCTTAGCTGCCAACATGGATCAAGATAAAAGACAATTATGCATATTCTAAGGTATTTATTTTTTCACCAGTATTGATGTGCAGTTGTTGGAGCTCTTTGTAGCCGCAACGTGCCACACAACATTGTGGTACTGTTAACAATGGATGCTAATGAGAAATCTATTGTTAAATGGGTTTTCAATAATTCCCAAAAAATAACAAAAGGCACGGCGGCCATATTGGATGATATAACAAAATAATTCATTGGCAATTCTTTTGTTAAATTCATCCAAGATGACGGATATGACGTCATGTTCAAAGGAAGATCTTAAGCATATCATTTGCAGCACGGTATTCTGTATTTATACAGAAAACATTAACACACCGAAAACAATTTTCAATCCTCAAGACAAGGGAATTCTTTTTTTGTTTTTTTATCCTACTAATAGACCAATTTAATTTTGACGTAATGTTTTCATATTCTAAAATCATGCATTCGTTATTTCTTTGAATACTATTTCTTTGTTTTGTAGTAACATACTAGTATTACTTTTCTAAAAGTGGGTTCCCTGTGTTCAATATTGGTTGACAAAACGAAAGACCACAAGACCCGGCAAAAGTTTTGTCAAAGTCAACCAAGATGGCGGCTATGACGACATATGCACCCCAAGAATTAGCGTTATTAGACTCACTTGGAAACCAATGAAATGGTATACCTCCCTTTTGCGAAGTTTCAAAGGTGTTCAAATTTTAAAGTGTAAAAAGGCCTGCCTAAGGTATGACCTTCATATTTTTTAAAATAACAGTGGATTTGGAATGTATGTAAAATAGTCTGAAAATCACTTAAGGAAGGATGTATCTCAAAATTAATATTATGGGTTGTTTTACCATCCGGATAGCATACCAAGGTTTGGAGCTTTAGGGCCCTTTAGAGTAAGGCTCATGCGAGACGTCATGGTTACTTAAAAAGCTGTTGGTTTTGTTTCCCTCTTACAAAAATTCTTCCTCTTCCCTCTAAATAATAATAATAATAATAATAATAATAATAATAATAATAATAAAACATTTATATAGCACCATATCTAGAAATATTTAATATCAATAAGATACAATGAAAGTCTTTGATGTCAGTAGATTTGTTCTCAAGATCAACCTGAAGTTTTCATTAGGTTTTGATAGCGAGTACATCTCTTATTTTAGTTGCAGTCGACGTAATCAAAGTGTATAGGAGGCTATGACACAAAACACTATCATCTATCTTATAGAAAATTTAAACTCTGCATTCCGTGCGTTGTAGAATGGAAGATTAGGGTTTTTTTACGTTTCTATAGCAGAACAAAACGAACGCTTGCTCCTAGTATTGAATGGTATTTTACTTATCGCTTATGCTGTACTTTTATAGTACACGATATAAGGGTCTTTTAACTACGAAATGAAGATTTTTCTATCTCTGTGTTATTTCGTTTTGCCATGCGGCAGACAAAGGAACCTAAAGAAGAATCCAGTAAGTCAGTTCTCGAAAATTTTTTTGCGGTGATGTAAGACTTGGGAATCGGTCCTTAACGCATGCGTCATCCTTCTTCATGTGACACACGTACATGTACGTTGCTTCATGTGCAATTGCACGATGACATTTGAATCGCACGAATCACAACACATCTAGGTTCTGTATGTTTCAATTCGCTGCGCTCAAACGAACGTAAATTATTTTTTCTCTTAATGCTGTGAAAATTCAATACAAAAACAACACCATGATGGTTTGGATGCTCAAGCAATCACATAACAATCGAAAATACATTTTATTTTTAGACCCTGGACATACCCACACGTACAACTCAGGAAAGATGTAATCGTTACCTTTCCCATTGTTTGAATGACTGACAGGCTAAGACGTTTTCTTTAGGTCGCCGCATCTTGTAAACAGCAGGCATATCGATAGTGTCGCACGTACTTATCTCAAAAGAACATGCAAATCAGCACAATGCATGGTTATGCGCACCTTTGCGCGTTCCTCTTTACACGTTTTGAAATCAAGTAAAACATTTGAGCATTAAAATTTGCCCTATGATGATAATGATGATGGTGGTGGTTAACCATTACCATAATCATCATCATCATCATCATCATCATCATCATCATCATCATCCACATTAATGTCATAACTTAATGCAGGGTTCGTGCTACTCCTTGAAATCCTTGAAAACTCCTTGAATTGAAAACACGTTTTTAAGGGCGCTTGAAAAGCTCTTGAAAATAGGGAAAAACGCCAAAACTCCTGGAATACTCCTTGAATTTAATGCAACTTAATGCTATTTCTAACTTTCCTTTTAAAATAAATAACGATTAAAATTGATTGGAGAGTTTCTGGTTGCTTGTTTACTGGTTGGTTGCGTGTCATGATCGTTTTTTATCTAAGCTGAATTAGCTGTACTGTAACATTGAATCAATGTTTAAACCACGTCCTAATACAAAAAACTTTGTCCATGAAAATCGAATTTTTGTGCTTGAAAAGTGCTTAAAAAGTCCTTAAATTTTGAAACGAAAATGAAGCACGAACATGACTATATAGAATGCAATGTTTCTATACGCCTACTTCTATTTGCTTTGGATGAAAAACTTTTGGTGAACTGCATCAGTATGTGTTTTCTGTTTATTCAGAGTCAGCGAATCATTTGTGCGTATATATACCTATTTTATTAAACGTTGCCATCACCAAATGCAATAGGCGATATTCATTCCACGATCCAATAATAGCTGGAACGACTTGTGTTTCTACTTCTTATTCTCGTCAAGAACATGGACCTTACTGTTGGGACTGATTCAATGTTGTTTGTTACAACTAAACCATTTCCATCTTGGCATAACTATCGCCTTAGGCAATGACGTTTATTGAAATAGGTGTATGTTTAATAGTTTTAGTCAGTGTTTCAAAAGTTTGATTCAGCATAACACCTATACAGTTGAACCGGTTACCCGTTATATTTGGTAAAGCGTACAATTAGGCCAATGCGCAATTAATTACGCATTCTAATAGTTTAAGAAGACAAGTTCAACGTCGATTCTGTTATCACTTCTTAACCTTCTTTTATTGAGATCATCTGGAGTGAATACTAGTATCGTGCTTACTGGAGCACTCAACGGATTTACTCGAGATTGCGGTATTCGAGCGTTCCGTGGCATTGATTCACTTGACATTCCGAAAAAGCGGATGGAAATTCCAAACATAGATTAAAATAGTTTTCAAAAGATGGTAAAATAGTGCGAAAGTTAATGACACATTGTCACTTTCTTTGTGTGTCTTTAGATCAGAACTATTGTAGAACTATTGAACCATAATAGACGAAAAATGAGATTCAAAAATCATCCTTTGCCATTAAATATTTAGAATTTTAAGCAAAAACTCATTTCAAAGGAAACTACAACATAATCTTTACAGAACTGCATTTTTGTTTTGGATCCGGAATAACGTCGTATATGCTTAAAAAATTATTTGAATGACGTCACGCTTAAAAGCTCTTTACAGTAGCTATAGGGAAGATATATCGTATACTTATTTCGCTAAAGTTAGTCATCTGATAGGCTACAAAGCTCAGACCAATAAGGATTAAAGGTAAATACATTTTACATGTTTCACTGAACCGCTTGATAACTGTTAATGGACTTGCACATCTTTTACCAGTTACTGTCTCACCTCTTCTGAGCATCTTCAAGCTGCATATGGCATCACAAAAATTCCTATGATCCGACTAACTTGAACACAGGTAGCCCAAGCTTGGTTTCTGTGGTGTCCTGTTATAAGGAAATGTATGGGGATTCATCAAAAATTTCAATAAAATCATTGAAACGTGAAATAAATATTTTTTCCCCACTTATTTCTTACTGGTGGGGAAAAAAGTCTTAAAACGGGCTAAATTTAAAAAATAACCACGCAGAGCAAAAGAAGTGCTATTTCTCAATGATCGGGTAAAATTTCGAGGCTTTATTTCACGTTTTAGT